TGATGGGCTGAACTGCACAAAACGCATGATCGCACCGGCTAGTCTGGTGCGCGTTGCCATTTATTCCTTTGTAGAAAGGGATTTGGGTTTGAGGATGTGGCCTCAAATTATTAGAAAAATAAAAAAAGGCAGTTTATCAGGGTTACCTATTTTTTCACTGAGGGCTGGAGCATTTTTGGCATAAGTTCCAGTTCGAATATAACAAATTTTTGACAGTTCGCTTTTAAATTTTTCATTTTTAAGCCATGTATTATTTTTTCACAGTAACATCGTGCGTGCTAGTAAACATCATTAACAGGAGATACCCACGCTGATAGCCCGCGTGGCCTTGATGTCCGTGGTATTTCTTTATTTTTACAGTTTCGCAGCCTTTATTATATGTTTGTTCAGGTAAATTCTGCGCTACTTCAACTAAATATTGTCCTTGTTTGGTAAAATTTTGCAATAGTATAGTACAGTTGTTGCAGTTTTCTGGCTAATTTTTATGCCTCTCTGACGAACTTTTACAGTTTCAGGGTAATGATACCTCAGAACTGCGCCTACAAACATAGCTATGCTTCAGGGCAAAAGGCTATCCATATTCATATATGGGGTTTTTATGAGACAGCCAGGATACTTTCACTGACGTCCTTTTCATATTACAGTTTGCAAAATTTTTACTGGTAGCTAGCGGCAAATAGAAAGAGTAGGGCGTGAAAATGGCCGAAATGCAGGGAGGAAACAGGAATTTTATTTTTGCTCAAGTTATGTCTGATGCTTTATTTGTTTTGCTTATCTTAAGCCTAATGCTTAAGCCTAAGCCCAATATTTAAGATAAGCAAGACAAATAAAGTGATAAAATGACAGCTTATGAGGGGAAAGTGACTGATAATTGTTGCCGCACAGTGATTTGCCACTTATTCAAGTTTATACAGAACCTTGCGTATCTCAATAATCTTGTTTGTGGTTTATAACAGCATTTCAACATAAGGCATGATAATAATTTTCCGAAAAAATTAGTCGGTTAGGTTTTACAATTCGTAATGAATTTGGTTAAAAAAAATGAACTTTGTTTCTGAACTTTGGAAGAATGCTTGAACATGAGATAATACCCCTTTCAGTTATTTTAGTTGTTTTACTTTTGAGTAAATGTGTGTATGTATGTTTGTATGTGTATGTATGTGTGTATGTGTCTGTGTATGTACGTATGTGTATATGCATGTACGTATGTATGAATGTGTGTACATATGTGTGTATGTGTGTGCGTATGTGTTTATGTCTATGTATGTATGTTTGTATGATGTATGTATGTATGTGTACTCATGTATGTGCGTATTTATGTATGTATGTATGCATGTGTGTGTTCGGAGACGAGTGAACTTTGTTACCGGCTTTCAGCTGAGCAACCAGAAAAATGAAGTTTCTTTCAATCATTTCAGGTTTTTTATGTTTTTAGTTGTGTTTATTGTTAAAATTTAGGAGCCCCCCTTTTGCTTTTACCATTGCTTCGTTTAAAATAAGCCACAAGGCTTTTACACTTTATGTAACGCAAATACTGTTATTCTTTTGACAGTTGTGAGTTAAATTTACGTTTTGCGTTTGGATAATGAATAGGCCGCTCACTTGTTCAGTGCTTCAGCAAATGTACTATTAAAACTTTATTTGTACAGGGATATAACAAGAGACAGTTGCAAAAATATACATACTCGCTGCTTCATCAATATAACTATGTTCGTTGAATTACCGAAAGTCGCGCCTGAAAAATTAGTTTTTGAACACTTTTCTTTCATAGTACTTTAAGGATAAGGACTGAGAAAGATTTTATAAAAAGCATCCGCCTTTTCGGCTGACAGTGAAGACTCATTAGTACCTGCTCACCGGACCTTCATTCATTCTTCACACCATCTAAGATTTAGAGGGGGAGGGGGAACTGACAATAGAAGTACAAGTTCTTGGGATAGCGGAAGTCGCTTTGAGAATTTTTTTTTTTGAATATATATATATATATGTTTAAAAAATACTACGATTGCCTGGGGTATTCTATTTTAGTGATGTTACTGAGATGTTTCTACATGCAGAAATGCTGGGACCTTCGTCCCTGGTCTGCATACCTCCAGTTATTACCCACCGCCTCTTCTTAAAGTGGTAGATTTAGGTTTATGTTTGAAATTCGTTTCCGAAAAAAGCAAGTTCCCCAGCCTGTCCCATGCAATAGTAAAAACAAACCAGTCGTTTTCTTTTTTGATAATCGGATTATAGCATCTTGCAAAAGTCTTGTTCATTCTCCGGAAAAACATTTCAATTTGCTGAAAAATTTTTGTGTTTTGAGATCTTCTGTTTAAAAAATATAAAATTATTGATATAGAAATGTATGTAGACGCCTTATACAACTGTACACAGCGATTTTTTAATCCTTAAAATTTAGCAGCTTCTCTAATTCGTAAATTCTCTTTTAGCGATAAGAAATTGAAAAGCAACGCACGCTGAAATATGGTTAGATCGATCTGGGACTCACTAACCTCTTGCTTTGGACTACTTGCTTTCTCGATATTTTCCCGATAAAAGTCCTTGATTTTGTCAGTTAGCTTAAGCCTTCTTAATTTTTCCATAGCCCTGCAAAACAGATGTAGAGCAGTTTGAGTATAGCAGACATCTGACTGAACTGGTGGTATTTTCAGTAAGTTTTGCCAGTACTGCTTATTTTTGCTCCCAGAAATGCATATATGAGTTGTGCCATAACTGATTCGGTCAGAAGCGAAGAAAGACTAAGCAGGCACTAGCATAAACTGAAGTAAGCTTCATTCGCCTGATTTTAGAGCAAGCTGACCTAATCAGTTGTGAGGGACGAGTGCAGAACTCACTTAGGTTTTATAATAGCTGGCGAGCTTCTTTTATTAGATTCTGGCCAGTGGTTAGCGTTTACTACTAGGAGAACAAGTTTTTCGTGATTCGTTAATTGTGCTGACGTACAGAGCAGACCTGGGGAGCCGAGCGTGGTCATTTTGCGCTCGAGCAACAGTCCTGGATAGTTATTCTTAGACATTCGAGCAGGTGTTCTGGCTAGTCTACGTCAGAAGCTGTTGTAAAAACGAGGGAACTCTTCACTTTACGAGGGAACTGTGAGGGAACTCTCCACAATGCGAGGGAACTCTTCACTTTACATTTGATTAAGTGGGTGCCTTTTTCTCTATTTGTTTCCGAAATGCATTAATTCATTAGTAAGTAAAAATTTATGTGAGGACTTTACAATGTAATTAAGAATTAAAAATCAAATTTATGATCATATATTAAATACATGATCATAAATTTGATTTTTAATTCTTTTGATTTTTTTTTTGATTTTTTTTTAAACTATTAAATATATATTAAATATATTAAAAACTATGAATATCATAGTTGATGAATCAACTAAACAGTAATAGTTCAGTCCATTGGGTAGTATAGATTTTTATTTCATTCTACAACTGGATCTCGTCAGTACGATAGCTGCGGCAGTGTCTCTCTACTTTTAACAACTCTCATTCATGGTAAATGCTCCCGGAATTAAATTCACAAATAAAAATGAGCCTAATTTTGAGAGTTAACCTTCTTTGTGCCTGACTAAGGCCACGCGTGATTTCCTTGAGGGCTTCGGGCACGTCGTTTGCATTTGTCCATTTATCATACTCTATGTACAGGTCCGGATCATCGTCCAGTTTATCCTTGATTAAATCAGTAATCATTATGAGATCATCGTCATCACTGGCTCGCTGCAGCTCCTGCAGCTCATCGACGTTGCATCGGTCCAGCAACGCCCGAACACATGTCGGCTCATTCGCATAACATTCATATTTTTCACTGCTTTTGCTGAAAATTTGATTACTTTCTAGAGATTGTTTAAGTGAACGAGTACCACTAGCTGCCGCCCGAGAATACGGCCACATTTCTTGAATTACTTTTTCTCCTTATGGGAGTAGGGATATTGTGCGGCAGTCATTCCAAGTTTGGGATCCACTGGCTGTATTACAACAGCGATAGCTGATACGCTTGGGGAACGACTTTTTTCTCAGAGAATGGCCGTAGAGTTGTTTACCGTTGACACCAGTTGCAGATTTTTAGTTGCCGAACTGCGAAGACAGTGAAGTAGCTGCTGGATTCAGATATCAAACTTCTCTACAGAAATAATGGGAGTAAAGCAGGAAAGAAAATAAACCTGGAAATTTTGCACAAGGG